CTCTCTCTCTGCCCCTTCCCTGCTCATGCTCTGTCTCTCTCTCTCTCTCAAAAATAAATAAACATTAAAAAAATTTTATTTAAATCACATCCTAGAGCATTAAGTACATTTAGGAAGGGGCCTATGATGTTCTTGGAAATCTTTGAGGAATTATGAAAGGTAGTGGAAGTAGTGCGGAACAGGCAGATGTTTGGTTTTCAAAATGGTAATATCCAACTTTTATAGAGTACTCACCTCTAGGAGGCACTGCTCTAAGCATTTCACATGTATTATCTCATTTAATCCTCACCACACCTCTAGGAAGTAGGTGTTATTTTTGTCCTCCTTTTATAATTGAGGAAACTGGGTCATAGGTAGGTTAGATAACTTGCTCAAGATGAAACTGCTAGCACATGCAGGAGCCAAGTTGCTATGGTATGAATGTTTGTGTCCCCTGTCCCCTAAATTCATATGTTGATTTCATAACCCCCAAAGATGATAATATTAAAAGGTGGGCCTTTGAGCGATGTTAAGCCCATGAGATGGCGCCCTCAATGGCACTAGTGCCTTATAAAAGAGGCCCCAGAGAGATCCCTCCCTGTCTACTATGAGAGGACACAGTAAGAAAATGTGGTGGTGAACAAAAAAGAGGGCCCTCACCAGAAGGTGACCATGCTGGTACCTTGATCTTGGGCTTCTCAGCTGCTAGAACTATGAGCAGTAAATCTGCCCAATTGGTGGTATTTTCTTGTAGCAGATGGGCTAAGACAGTTGATACCGAGAAGTTGGGGTGCTGCTAGAACAAATACCTAAAAATGTAGAAATGGCTTTAGAACTGGGGCAGAGGCCTAGATGCATGCTAGAAAAAGCAACATTGTTGCGAACAGACTGTTAAGATGGTTCTTGGGAAGGCTCAGCAGGAGAGAGCTGTATAGATCTCAATCTCTTTAGATTACCTAAATGGTAAGGAGCAGAATATAGATAGAAATATGGAGGGTAAAAGTCACCCTGATTAGGTCCCAGACAGAGATGAGGGACATGTTAATTGGAAACTGGAGGAAAAAAGAGATCCTTGATATGAAGTGACAAAGAGTTTGGCTGAATTGTGTTTGTATCCTGGTGGTTGGTGGAAAGTAAAACTTGAGAGTGATATTTGGGGCTCAAATTGGATATTTGGGGCTCAAATGTGGGGCTCAGGCTCACAACCCCAAGATCAAGAGTCGCATGCTCTGCGGATTGAGCCAGCCAGGTGACCCAGCTGGCTGAAGAAATTTCTATGCAAAGTGTTGAGGAAGCAGCCTGGTTTCCCTTGAATACGTATAGTAAAATGCAAGCAGAGAGAAATTATTTAAAGGTGGAATTGGTTTGTTTTGTTTTGTTTTTAATTTTAAACATTTATTTATTTTTGAGAGACAGAGAGACACAAAGCATGAGTGGGGGAGGGGCAGAGAAAGAGGGAGACAGACTCTGAAGCAGGCTCCAGGCTTTGAATTGTCAGCACAGAGCCTGATGCTGGGCTCAAATCCACGAATTGTGAGATCATGATCTGAGCTGAAGTCGGACACTTAATCAGCTGAGCCACCCAGGCACCCCTAAAGGTGGTATTGTTAATCAAAAAGGATGCAGAACCAAAAATTTGGAAAATTCTTATCACGATCTAATATTCTATATATCTTACTCATTTATCATGTTTATTGCCTGTTCCTCCCACAAGAATGTAAGTGCCATGGGCAGGGATCTATTTGTCTCCTGGTGTATCCCTAGTGCCAAAAATAATATCTGGCACAAAGTAGGTATTCAATAAATGTTTACTGAATGAATAAATCAATGATTGCCAGTCATAGGCATCACATAGTTGATGTCTTTTAATTCGCTTAACTACCCTTACAGTTTTTAGCCCCATTTTACCTTATTTTTATTATTTTTATTTTTTAGCCACATTAAAAAAATTTTTAATGTTTTTATTTATTTTTGAGAGAGAGAGAGAGAGAGGGAGTGTGCACAAACGGAGTGGGGGCAGAGAGAGGGAAGCACCGAATCAGAAGCAGGGTCCAGGCTATGAGCTGTCAGCACACAGCTTGATGCGGGGCTCGAACCCTTGAACTGCGAGATTATGACCTGAACCGAAGTTGGCTTTTAACCCACTGAGCCTCCCAGGTGCCCCTTTTTTAGCCCCATTTTATTTTTTTATTTTTTTTTTAATATTTATTTATTTTTGAGACAGAG